ACCACTGGGAACACCTAGACGTAGGTGGGTGGATAATATTAAAATGGATCTTAGATAAGATGGGTTGGTATGGACTGGGTTTATCTGGCTCAGGATAGGGAACGGTTGACGGCTATTTTGAACACGGTAATGCATCTTCCGGTTCTTTAAATTTCTGGGAAATTTATTTAGTAGCTCAGCAACCGGCTGCTTCTGAAGAAGGGCTCAGCTACATGGAGTCAGTTTATGTTCTGACAGTGGTATAGAACCAGTGCAAAGTGGGTCAACTACGAAATCAATAAATCATCTAATCAACCATAAAGTCTAAATTTGGCACAAGACCGTAAAACAGCCAGATTACATTTTATCTGCTGCTATCAGCAGGTTATTAACTCGCGCACTGCCGAAGTAGGGTTGCGGTAGGCTGTCGCTGAGTTTCTAACTCATTACTACGTAGGTAGCGTTCGGCCACTCCTATATTTCTTCATGCGTATTCTAGAATATATTTTATCTTGAGCGAGAAGGAATTCAGGTTTTGAGGTTGCAATCCTGCGTCAAAGGTACCTCCTGGCAAGTGTCGGTATAATTCGTTGCATGTGTGTGAGCTAGATTCACTGTGTAAAGCGGTAAAATGCTGCAAACCTCTGTTCGTCGCCATTAATCAGTCCTGACAGTGAAGAATCTGCGAACGAATGTCGCGGTTGAATAGTCTTGCTTCGTATTCAAGAAGTCCAGGCATCAAGCCTTGGTCCTGAAAAGAATATGTAATACCCTCGGCGGACTTCGTACGAGAAAAAGAAAAGAAGCAAATATGTTGGCAAAGACAACTTCGGACGCAAAAATATTAAAATAAAATAATTATTGCAAGTGATGTTAATATTATATTTAAGCTTCCTGTTACACTCTACACAATGTGTGACACAAACTCCATCCTAAATGCAACAATAAATTGTTGCCCTTAGGACGGAGTGATATTAAGTTTAGTTTTTCAAATACTTCAGGTTTGTTCCATTGTTCCTATTCAAATATATTATTATTGTTGTTGCTATTATTATTATTATTATTATTATTATTGCTGTTATTATGTTCTTATGTATTTTATGTTCTTTTTTGTTCACGTTCACATCTTCTGGATTAAGCAATCTATTTTTCTTTCCTCGGTGTTTGCCTGACAAGAGCTGAGGCTTTTGTCAGGCACTTAAAAAAATTAATTATTATTAATGTTGTTGTTGTTGTTGTTGTTAATGTAACGCGGATGGACACAGCGTTGATAGGTAACCGACCGTTAAACACCTCGCGACAGAATACACGCAAGGCGACAATGGTAGTGGGGCGTTTTCTATGCGGTCGGCGCCATGGTCGTTGCTATGTGATCGCTTGGGAAACACGTTCCAACAATAAAGAGACTATTTTCTGTGTGATCGGTGCGAAGCTTTTATAACGAGTTTCCAGGAATAACTGACTAACCACCCGGTGTGGAGGCGGGGTCGAATACCTCCACCGTGACCCTGCGAGTCGTAGGAGGCGACGAAAAGGGAAGTCTCAGTTCTGAGACAGTAAAATATAGTCGCGAGTTCCAAGGGACTCGGACCCGAGTATGACTGCACTGGCAAGGGCCAACAGCATATACAAAAGACAGACCCGTCCTCTCGTCAGAGAAGACACCCCACAGGAACAAGACCGTAACTGTCAAACGGCAATAACTAATATCTGGTCATGAGCCCAAAATGGGGCTCGACACCAAGTCTTACTGACTGACTGACCGTCAGTCGCAATGTGACTTTGACTAACTGACTGACTGGCAGTCGTAATGTGACTTTGACTTTGACTTTGACCAAGTAATATTGGGGAGAATTTCAGGGTGTTTAAACGTTTAAGTGACAGCGACGCGAAGTTCGTCGTGTGAAGACTTGGCGTATGATTGGGAGACCTTAATTATTGTAATACTTGGAGTCTGTGTTGAGATCCATTACCAAGAGAGGACTAGTGTGCGCCTAACCGTGAAGTATGTGGTATATGTAAATCAGAGATAGCACTGTAATTTGAGCGTAATTAAGAGAAAGTGTGTAACCAAGCTGCCAATAAATCCAACCATCCGAACTAGAACCTGTCATTTCGTCACGCCTACTCCCCTACACGTGACATTATTATGCGGACCCCTACAGATTAGGCCCTCTCTCCTATTCCGGTTCATGTTGTGGCATGTAGGCCCACTGCTAGGCAACAACCACGTGATAAGCAAATATACAACAGCCATTACTGAAAAACGGATTCGCAAAAAATCATGTTTGCACGGCAGCAATTGGAAACGTCAACAGAGGAGCGGTGTTTGCTGTGCGGGCCGTGCCGAGATGTTATAATCATGGCAGTGAAGATGGACACAAAGGGGGAACTGCCGTTACCGTTAAGAAAGGCATCCCTCACACTTGAGTCGACTTACCTCCTCTCCTATTTGTAGAAGCAACAGGAGACTGCATACCGACTGCAAACACTAAAATGTTTCTTGCAGCTGTATTTAAAACTCCGGAAAGATTATGGAGTGACTCAGACATCACACAGATATTAGGGATTAGAAATAAATCTTTCCTGGCAGGTGACCTGAATGCAAAGCACCCTGTCTGGAATAGCAAAATTTCAAACCTCTCAGCCTTGAAGCTCTTGGAATTATTTGTTACTCCTAACCTCGAAATTTCAGCTGCACAATGCACTGCGCATTACACACCTGATAGTATACGCGATGTTCTCGACAGTATGGTAAATCAGAATGTACGCCTGTCAGAGGTCATTGTCGCTGACATTTTGGGTTCGTATCACCTACCAGTAGTGTTCATCATTCAGTACTGTTAGAACGAGGTGAGCTTTAGATCCAGTTGAATAACTGACAGGCTGGGAGCTATTTCAGAGTATCGCTTCTGAAATCATATCTCGCGGTATCCAAGTTCACTCTTCTAATGAAGCTTCTAACGCAGCCTCTGTAGCTTCGGCATACAGGACATCGACCAGGAAACCTACAAATTTGACAAATGCAGACGGGCATGAGTTTGTGCAAAGATGAAAGGGAAACAGGTTTATAAATTCTTCATATCTCTTACACGCATATTTGATGCATTAACACGACAAACCATTTAGTTAAAAATAGGGACAGGATTCCATGTTAGTGTGGAACTGTAAGCTCTAATATCATAAATAGAGTCCGGGGTTGGTGACTCGGGACTTCCTGGCACTGGTGGAAGAGTTTCAGTTTTTATAAACAAGACGATATTGTCTAGCCGCTTTCATGAGGCTTTATAACGCAAGTTCTGTACTCACATGGGGTGTTCCTCAGTCTGCAAATTAAGTGCCGTGTGCAACAACCATGGAAGAACGACGTGTCATATAACGGTTTTTTGCACGCTGCACTAATTGTCATAAAGAGCAGACAGATTGAAGACGATTCACAGAATAGAATAATCATTATTCTGTAATAAATCAGAAAATGTGGGCAAAGCGTTATCTGTTCAGAGGCCAGAGGAAATTTACGCATAATAATTATAGAACTTAATGAAATATACCTTAGTTGTCATTACTTGAATTACAGATGTACACACTCTGAAACTTATAATATATAGTCTCATTACATTCATGCTACTGTGTAAGATAAAAATAAGATTGATCTTACAAAATTGTAGAGATCCTTGCGATGTATCCTCATATGTTTATTTACAATGGTATGTCGATTTTCGATATCTAGGAACCGCAAATATGCGTTTGTTGTGTTGCCCATCATGCTATTTCGCAGTCTTTAAACATCAGCTTTTCTTGACGAAAATTACGTACAGTAGGCTATATCTAGAGGATTTCTCTCCATACCATTCTTCAGGCCCCTATATTTAATGGAGGCACTTCCGCTGAGGATTCAAGCCACATATCTTCTCCATTCATTCATCTGCATAATAACCTGAAAACGATGTTGCTCGAAGCATACCAGGTCTCTAGAATCCGAACGAGAAAGAGAGTGGCTGTCTGTGCCTTTGAAGAAGACACCAACACTCTCTCTTCTCCATTCCGCTATATTCACCATATATTTTGACGCCATGTAACCTATTCCGTTCAGAGAGTATTACTAAAGTGACAAAGTCCTCCATGTGCATAATCGGGATGCCATGAAGGAGTATGGGGAAGGAGAGGCAAATCTCCGTTCATCCTAAAACTCTGGAGATAATGAAGTAAAGTGGCGAGTTTCACTCCAAAAGAGAGCGCCTTTGTATACATCGGACAGGAAGCTGAGTGGGCCCCAAGAGTAGTCTGGACGTGATGACAAAAAGAATAATCTCTGCATCTGAGGGGAATCGAAGCTTGGTCATCCAACCCATGGTCGATGGTCTGCAATACTCTGTGGAAAGGTAAATACCAAATCCATTGTTCCTCTACTTAAACGAGCTTTGTCAGATTAACAGAGCAAAAATTGGCCGATAACAGCATTCTGTTGCTTCTGACACCTCAGAATAAGAAGCGAAGAGAAAAAGGGGCGTCCAGAAGCATGAATTGAGATACATGATGCTCTAATGTTGACTTTTACCTAATTTGCTTGTACTCTGCCATGTCCTATAGTACTGCACCTGAGTTTTACTTCACATGGTCCTACGTGGGACGATTAGAACTTAATAGGACTGACACAAGTAGTAAAATCGACTAGATTTCATAAAATGTATTTATCTTCATACAGGGAAGTGGACAGACATGGGGAAACAGAGAGACGCACCGACAGATGGCTTAGCGCTCTTTTCTCGGATACTGTCAAACCGCTACTGAGATTAATAAAATACTGGGTTCCATATTTCGGCGTAGTAACTTTAGGCTTCGTATTTGGCCAGCCCTAAGAGAGAGCACGTAGAAAATATTGTTAATAGTCATAGAAGGGTTGAAAACAGTTCTACACTTCTCCATCTCTCTCGCGCGCGGTGCCGAGGAATGTCGGACCCTTGAGGCGGTGTTACAGCAGTATAACAGGTGTGTTCCTGCAGTCTTACTGCGCATGCGTACAAGAAATCCAAGACCCGGAGATTCCTTTGGCGCCAGTCCTGCATGGAGTGTTGTGGTGTGGTGTTTGTGCTGGAGTGGCTGTTGTATGTCCGTAATCAAGAAATCATGTTACTTGGAAACAGTTCCTGAAGGATATTATTTACGAGGATCAGAACCTTCGCTTGTTCAGGTAAGCCGAGAACTTTGTCTTTTCACTGTTTACTGACCAGCTGTGTAGTTCTTCCACCCGCAGCCTTTCGGATCTGTGACGCATTTCTGAGCCGGAGATAGTAAGATAAAATTCCCGTATAGTTTCTAATCTAAAGTTATGTTGTTTCATGAGGAATTTAGGCTTCCTGGATAAGTGACAAATTAGGCCTTCAGTGGAACTAATTCCTTATATATGACGAGATTTTATGCACTTACTTTTTCAGCACTTAAAACCTGAAATGTGACCTGGCATCACAGTTTTGTTCGTAACATATTGTATCTAGTTCATTGGTGACAAACACGCTTCAGTCTGCAACTGATCTTGTCTGAAGTAAGTTGTGTACTACAACTTTACATGAGAGTGTAATAGTCACAAAAATTGTTTAAAAGACCAACGACACTATTCCGATAGGACAAGATGTGAAACATGACTTGCTTGAACAAACTTATAAAAATATTCTTTTCACACAGTTATACAGAATTGACTTACATACAGATATTCTGAGGGCGTCGAGATAGCTTAGACAGCATAGCGACGGGCTATGCTTGCTGGACGACCCGGGATCCATTTTCGGCAGTGCAAGATGTTTCTCTTCTACACAGCGTCCAGACCAGCACTGCGGCCCACCAAACTTCCTACTCAATGGGTAACGGGGGCTGATGACCACTCATCTCCATCTAGTGCACAGTCCAAGTCTAACTAATTAACTTTTTTTTTTCCTGTGGCGCTACAGCTCCAATTTGGCCCTAGGCCTACCTCCATGAAACTCTCCGTTTCACTTCGGTTTACTAGAGCTTATACATACGGTAGGACTTCTTGGGCGAGTGATCAGCTCGTCGCAAGGCCTCTACCTGTAGACAAAAACAGAAAAACGCACACAAACATCTATGCCCTGAGTGGGATTCGAACCCACGATCTCTGTTTCCGAGCGAACGAAGACAGTGCATGCCTTAGACCGCTCGGCTACCGCGACCGGCAACTAATTAACTTTATCTTTTCTTATTTTTCAAATATTGTCATATTATAAAGGGGAATGGTAAGTTGCCGCCATGGCTCATTAAGCACATTTTGAGGATGTATGGGGAGTGAAGAAATAGCTCCACACAGTCTGAACTTCTGCACTGTGCGGAGAGAAGACCAGTTTTCCCCTTGCTCTCATTGGATAGGAGAATGGGTGAGCCCAAGGTTCAGTCTGGAAGTGGTGGCGTAGAGACCAGCCATGCCTCCCTCGGTAATCGATCTCCGGTCATCCATTGTGTAGCCAATTATTATGCTGACTGAGCTAGCTATTTCATATGTCATCACACTGCTGTTTACGTAATAATATGCTATATTTTCATGGAGGGACTGGCTGTGGTATCATTTTTCATATATATAAAACGCTTTAGCTGTCCTTTAATAATGAAGCTGAAATTGAAATCTCTAAATATTTCAATGCTAACAATCTCAAACAGAAAGAAACATCACAAGAAGTTATTTTTGCCCCTTTAATGATTCTTACAATATCCTTATATAGGTATGTTCTGTAAGCGCGAGATTTTACACTGTCATTACGCAATTTCGGGTTATAATAACGAAGTGTCTAGCGTCAACACGTTGCATGAACGGAAGTAACAGGGTACACCAGGAACGAGCGAGCAGGCTTTTCTTTTTTCAATGCATAGCACATCTTCTGTGAGTACTGATGATATTTTGACGTTGATATGTGAATTGTAGTATGCTATATAAGAAAGACTGTTTACGATTGACTATTTGTGTATTTTATTCTTGGGAGATGTTGTCAAACGTCGGCTTCGATGCATCGTTCGATAAAATGCGGGACTGGAAAGAAATACGGGAGAAAGCAAGGGAACTTAATTGTACAATAAATTATATAACGTATGATGATGAGACTTTGCGTTGATTCTCAGTGGGTGCTACACTAGTCCTAGTATTATACAATGCAAATGATATATTTTAGAATATATTTGGTTACTTAATTATCAGTGTATTTTCATTTATATAAACAATTATTTAATTTTTATTTAACCAGAATAATTGCGTTATAAAATATTATTTAACTGTGTAATAGTACAAGCTAATTAATAACAGAATGCCTTTCTGTTTACAGACTGAAAATATTTCTGCAATTATTTTCCATTCGTTATGCAACTAAGTTGTTTATTTATCGACGCTGTTCAGCTGCAGAGTTCATGTAAAGTAAAAAGTAAAGTAAAGTTATCCCTGCATCAGGCCGTGAAGGCCCATAGGGTTGTGAGACGGTGAGGGTCCCACATTATCTAGACAATCGGCTCAAAGATGGCGGTAAGGTTGTCAGCCTTACGCGCCGACCGCGCGTTACTCCCCAGGAAAATTATTTAATAAGTTCATGTAGGCGAAGAAATCATTTTTAGTATGTAGAAAAAGTGTGAAGGCATTCACATAGAGAGTCTGAGGAAAGTCACGAATACATTGTGTAGTATACCGGAATCGAAGCAGAGTCCTCACGAATACAAGTCCAGTGTATTTTAATCATTGTTCGTTAAATAGCCAGTTATCTCAAATTTAGTATTTTTTTTTTGCTTTCATTGGAAGTAAACGGTAACGATAATTCCTAACTTATTATTAGTGTTTCTTACACCTTTCGTATGCGAAAGTACAACTGCAGAACACGACACCGTACCGCGAAACTTTTAGTCACAGCTTGGCACGTTTATATTTTAAATCGGGCAGTGGATAAAATCCAAATAAGGTGCTATAATAATCCCAGCCATAAACCCGTGTCGTCACATATCTTAACAGTAATAATTTTGTTAGGAGATACCAATGCCAAAGTACAGAGGGAAGACATTTTGAAACTAACGATTGGAAATGAGGGTTTGCATGAAATTAGTAATGATAATGGAGTTAGGGCAGCAAACTTTTGCCACATCAAAAAATTTTACTGTCAAAAGTACAATGTTCCCACATCGTAACATCCATAAATTTGCTTGGACATCTCCCGATGGGAAGATGCACAATCAAATTGACCATATTTTGATAGAGAGGAGACGACATTCAAGTATACTTGATGTCCAGTTGTGATACTGACCACTACCTGGTGGTGGCAAAGTTAGGGAAGGACTGGCAGTGAGCAGACAAACGGCGCACACAGTTCATGTGGAGAGGTTCAGTCTCAAGAAATTAGAAGTGGTAGAGGGTAAAGAGCAGTGTCGTGTTGAAATCTCAGATAGGTTCGCGGCCTTGGAAACTTGGGACACTGAGGTGGATGTTACGAGTAATACAGCTTGGGAAACTATTAGAGAGAATATAAAAAAATGTCCGCCAAGGAGAGTCTAGGTTATTATGAACCGAAGAAGCATAAGCCATGGTTCGATTAAGGATGCTCAGAATTATTAGACCAAAGAAAACGAGCCAAATTGCAATGGTTACAGAATCGAAGAGAAATAAATGGGGATAATCTGAAGAACATAAGACGGGAAACCAAAATTGATGAGCTTGCAATGAACAGTAAGAACAAGAACATTAGAGACCTGTATAGAGGAATAAATGACTTTAAGAGTGGTTACCAGCCTAGCAGTAACTTAGTGAAGGATGAGAATGGTGATCTGCTTGCAGCTTTGCCACATTTTGAATAGGTGGAGGAACTACTTCTCTCAGTTATTGACTGTACATAGGGTCAGTGATGTTAGGCACACAGAAATCGATACAGCTGAGCCGTTAATAACTGATCCTAGCTCTTTTGAGGTTGAAAGTGCTATTGCAAAATTGAAACGGTATAAATCGCCAGGTAGTGATGAAATTCCGGCAGAAAAAATACAGAGAAGATCTGTATGACTTGATGGAATCTTGATGGGTTTCCATAAGATTTCAGTTCGGGTGTTCAGGTTTGTAGCATAAATTTATGCCTTCTTTTCTATTCTAGTTCCACGCATGTACGTGCTTTATCACAATTTATATTACATTTTCTTGTTATCCCCCGCCTAATTAGCCTGGTCTCATATGATTAAAGAGCTGTGTAAATCTGACAAGGGTTGTCCAGTGATTGAGATTAGCTCTTTCCAAGGGGCCCAACTGAGTAGGTGTCTTCCCCCACCTCACCTGAAGACGGAAAGAGATTAAGTTTCTGAAACGTCATGTTTCCCATTTTCTAGAATAGCGAACCATGGAAAAATCCCAAAACGCAGTAATTGTATGTGTTATACACCACAGTCAGAACCCTTTAGAATCTATTTGCTATGCAGTCTCCCTAGCTTCAATGCTCAGGGTTCCAGCCATCCCACAGACATAATAAACCAGTTTCTTTTGACTGAATCCGAAATGATAAAGGTATATTTTGTAGTTATTCACCATATTAAGCTCTCGCCCATATATGCCCACCTGGTTCCAAATGATCAGTCGATGACATTGTCACTGTCATTATTCTGAACAGTTAGACATAGTAGTCCAACCCCATTAAGACCCCTTTTTGGTTAACATGTGTTTATAGTCCGAAAGACCTATGAAAATGGACTGACCATTATTTTTTTTCCATGTGGACCAAAATTTGTAACGCCCACTGGGGTTATGATTGTCTTTCACACTTGTAGTACGTTCCAACTCTTTCTTTCTAGACTCCGAAACTCTGTCTGCAATGTTATTCATCTCTAATTCATTTTTAAAATCTCACTCCTGTCTTAACAGCGGAGAAAAACAACTATTGTCGATCTGAGAAAAGTGGCGACTGTACTTCTAGTGTCGTCCAGATTTCCCATCCATATGAAAGAATTTGTTTTGTCATTACCTTTTACAGTTTTATTTTAATATTTATAAGAGTTTCATTTTTATCGACTTATAATTGCATTCATTTAATATTTGTGCCGTATATTTAACATGCTTTGTTATTTCCAAAATATTATGTTATGATCTTGGATATCAGAATGATTGTACGGTGTGTTGAAGAAGCAGTACACTGACACCGTTTGACAGAGGAAGTGAGAGGAACACGAACTGTGTGGTTA